TCAAGTGTGGCAACAGTAGTGAGGTTGGCCCAGGATCGGACATTGTTTCGTTCTGCTATGCATAAGGTCGCTATGAGTCAGTGCCGACTCGATGGCACCTAACAACAACAACAACACAAGTTTAAAACTTGTGTTTTAAACTTACTCACTCTATAGGCAACAAATTACAAAGCTAAGAGTACATTGGTGTTCAAAGTATTTCCTACTAATTCATCATCTTAAAAGAGGTTATATATAAGCTATATATATGTGTGTGTTTCATAAGCTGGTACTTTACACCAGGGATGTTGAAATCTTCATTTTGGTGGTGGTGGTGGTGGTGGAGTGTAAAGGTCTAAATATAGTTAGTCCTAATTTAGCATAGTGGTTACAAATCAGACTGCTAATCTCATGTTCAGCACTTCGAAAATGCCAGCTGTTCCATAGGTGAAAGATGAGGCTTTCTGCTCCCGTAAAGATTTACAGCTTCAGAAACCCTGTACAGGGTCCCTGTGAGTTGGAACCAACTCCATAATACAAAACAACAACAGTAATTTTACAAAAGGAGCCCTGGGAGAGCAGTGGCTTCAGCATTGAAAGGTGGTGGTCTAAACCTACCATTCACTCTGTGGAGAAAGACGAGGCAGTCTGCTTCCACAAAGATTTATACCTTGAAAACCCTGTGAAGGAGTTCTGTCCTATGGAGTTGCTAAATCAGAATCGATTTGATGGCAGTGGAGTTTTAAAATTTTATTTCACAAAATACAGAGTCATAGTCCACTAAACTTATTTTTAAAGTAATTTTATTATACTATGGCTTCACCCATCTACTAAACTGCTCACAGATAATAAAAACATTTCTTCTTTTGTTATTAACTATAGTTATTTACTATATGGTTTTTGGTAAAGTAGGAGCAAACAGAGTTGCCTACCAAAAATTATTTTCATAGAGCAACAAAATATTTTTATACTACACATAACAAATTATTTACTAGTACTCAAATTTATAAATGGATAAAGTACCAAAACCAATTTACCCAATAGGCCTTGAAACAACAAGCTCCACTTGTGGTTCAGGTTTGGATTCCAGAATAATGTTATACACTTCTTCAAAGGTAGCTCCTTGTAATAGTCTTCCATTCCATTCCAATACTTCATCACCTATAGTGTGTGTGAATAATGATAATCTTAGAAAGAAGCGCTAGCCACCCAAAATACACTTAAAACGACATCAATATTAAGCTTCAATGAACTCTGTAGAATAAAATCCACATTATGGAATAAGAAAAATCTTGAGAACAGCTTGAGTGGTGTAAAATTTGATAACATGGATGATAATTATATTCTACCCAAAGGCCAAATTCTAATAAGGTCTAGGGGTCAGAGGGAAAAAAAAAAGTCATCTTCGTGTGACTTAATAGGAATTTTATTTATATAAAATGGCCACTCTCAGTATTGTCTTTAAAGATTTCAAGATTCTGTACTTGAGATTGTTCAGTTTGTATGCAGCTAAGCACTTTCTTTTCTTTTTTTTAATCATCTGTGGTCTAACTTTTCTTGTAAAAAGCTTAATATTTAGTATCAAATAGAATCTTCTCCAAGATACTCAAGTGTTTCTTCAATAAAACAATTACCAAAGAAACAAGGCTGACTCTTTTTAGGAAATAGGCATTTATGCATTAAGTTTGTTTCCTAAACAATATTTGACATTTCTCAAAAGAAAAATGAAGATGTATGAGAAACAAAATAGGTTACTACTAGTTACACATTAGGAATATCTATTAACAATAACAAAAATATTATTGGTAAAAATATAAAATATGACTCAAGAAAGTTGCAAATAATAGTTACAACTTTCCATTAAAGAAAAGGACTGATGTTTAACTTCAATGAACTCTCTGGACATTGGGTAAGTCATTACTAAAAGAGAATTACTTGGTCTGAACTAACCTTGCTTTACAGTTTAAAATATAAAAGAATTTCAAAGTAGACGTACCTGGTCTAAGATGACCTACAGTATCAGCTAAACTTCCTTTTTTTACTTTGGTAATAAATGCACAAAGCCGACCTGATTCTGTCATCTTTCCTCCTACAACCTGATTAAAAGAGGGAGGTATTAAAACAGGATTATTTTTGCCAAATGATCATAGTTAAAGATTCAAGGAAAAATTACCTAAGAAATTAACAGCTTTCACATCTTTTATTTAAGCACATGCACTGACAATCATTTAAAAATATATATATATTGTTATTATTAGGAATAAAAAAATATGTTCTAAGTGTGGACTCTTTTTATATACTCCAAATATTTTCAGTTTATTCTATTACTTTTTTAAAATGTTGGAAAACTTAGGAACAAAAAACTAACCAATTTATCATTTCTGTCCTTACTATAGAATTCTTGTTATTGTCAAATCTAAAAAACAAAAATAATACATTTGAAGATATGTTAAACATTGTAACAATATAATTCTTAGTTACTCTGATTATAACTATGATGTCATTAAGTGCCGTCAGGTCCACTCGGACTCACAGTAACCCTGTATACAGTTTCTGAGGAGTAGCTGGTGGGTTTGAACTGCCGACCTTGAAGTTAGAAGTCCAATGCTGATCGTAGAACACCACAATGGAAGTCCTAATTATGATAAACTACCAAAATTTCACTAATTAGTAATCTTGTAAGCACATCAATTAATGTGCACTATGGGAGATGATTCCTGAGAAAATTGTAAAATTTATTTAATATTGTCAGAACTACTATAAAGTTTAGACCATTTATATCACAATCCTGGGTGTCACAAATGGTTAAGCGACATGGTATGATTAATAATTAAAAGGGTTGGAACTAAAACTCTGAGATACATTGGCAGATAGATCTAGCAATCTACTTCCAAAATACCACAGCCTTGAAAACTCTTATGTTGTTGTTTTTGTTAAGTGCTATTGAGTCAGTACTGATTTACAGTGACCCTACGTACAACAGAATTAAACACTGCCCAATCCTGGGCCAACCTCAATATCGTTGCCACGCTTGAGCCCATTGATGCTGCCACTTTGTCAACCCATCTCGCTGGTGATCTTCCTCTTTTTCTCTGACACTCCACCTTACCAAACATGATGTCCTTCTCCAGTGACTGGTCCCTCCTGACAATATGTCCAAAGTATGAGAGACGAAGTTTGGCCATCTTAGCCTCCAAGGGGCACTCTGGCTGCACTTCTTCCAACACAAATCTGTATGTTCTTTTGGTAGCCCATGGCACTTTCAATATTCTCCTCCAACACCGTAACTCAGAAGCATCAATTCTTCTATGGTCTTCCTTATTCACTGTCCAGCTTTCACGTGCATATGAGGTTATTGAAAATACCATGGCTTGGGCCAGGTGCACCTTAGTCCTCAAGCTGACACCTTTGCTCTTCAATGCTTTTAAAATGTCTTATGCAGCAGATTTGCCTAATGTAAGATGTCGTCTATCTCTTGATTGCTGTTTCCATGAGTGTTGATAGTTGATCCAAGAAGAATGAAGTCCTTGACAGCTTCAATCTTTTCTTCATTGATAAGAACGTTTTTTATTGGTCCAGTGGTGAGGATTTTTTGTTTTCTTCACATTGAGATGTAATCCATATCAAAGGTTGTGCTCTTTGATCTTCACTCAGTAGATAAGTTCTCTTCACTTTCAGCAAGCAAGGTTGAATCATCTGCATGTTGCAGGTTGTTAATAAGTCTTCCTCCAATCCTGATGCCATGATTTTCTTCACATAACCCAGCTTCTCGGATTATTTGCTCAGCATACAGGTTGATTAAGTATGGTGAAAGAATAAAACCCTGCCACACATCTTTCTTAATTTTAAATCCTTCTGTATTCCTATGTTCTGTTCCAACAACTGCCACTTGGTCCATGTACAGATTCCTCATGAGCACAATTAAGTGACCCGGAATTCTCATACTTTGTAATGTTGTCCATAGTTTGTCATGATCCACACAATCAAAAGCCTTTGAGTAGTCAATAAAGCACAAGTAAACATCGTTCTCTGCTTTCAGCCAAGATCCATCGGACATCAACAACGATATCCCTCATTCCATGGCCTCTTCTGAATGCGGCTTTAACCTCTGGAAGTTCTCTGTCAATGTATGGTTGCAGCTGTTTCTGTATTACCTTTAGCAAAACTTTATTTGTATGGGATATCAAAGATATTGTTCAATGATTTCCAGATCCCCCTGGGTCGCCTCTCTTTGGAATAGGCACATATACAGATTCTTCCAATCAGTTGGCTAGATAGTTGTCTTCCAAATTTCTTGGCATAGATGAGTGAGTGCCTTCAGTGCCACCTCACTTACTTGACAGATTTCAATTTGTATTCCATCAATTCCTTGTGCCTTGTTCTCTGCCAATGACTTCAATATACCTTGGACTTCCTCCTTCACTATCATTGGCTCTTGATCATATGCTACCTCTTGAAACAGTTGAACATCAACCATTTCCTTTTGGTACAGTGACTCTGTGTATTCCTTCCATCTTATTTTGATGCCTTCTGCATCATTCAATAATTTGCCCAGAGAATCCTTCAGCAACAAAAGTCGAGGCTTGAATTTTTTTTCAGTTCCCCCAGCTTGAGAAATGCTGAGTGTGTTCTTCCTTTTGGGTTTTCTGACTCCAGATCTTTGCATATTTTGTTGTAATATTTGACTTTATCTTCTAAAGCTGACCTTTGAAATTTTTTGTTCAGCTCTTGGACCTCCTCATTTCTTCCATTTGCTTTAGCATCTCTACTCTGAAGAACAAGTTTCAGTGTTTCTTCTGACATCCATTTTGACCTTTTCTTGCTTTCTTTTCTTCTTAATGACTTTTTGCTCTCTTCACGTATGATGTTTTTGATATCATCCCACAACTCTTCTGTTTTTAGTGTTTAATGTGTCAACTCTGTTCTTCAGATGATCTCTAAATTCAGGGGGGATATATTCAAGGTCATGTTTTGGCTCTCGTGGACTTCTTTTCATTTTCCTCAGCTTCAGTTTGAATTTGCTTATAAGCAATTGTTGGGCTGTCTCACAATCTGCCCCTGGCCTTGTTTTGACAGATGATATGGAGCTTTTCCATTGTCTCTTTCCGCAGATGTAGTCAATTTGATTTCTATGTATTCCATTTGGTGAGGTCCATGTATGTAGTCGTCTATTATGCTATCTAAAGAAGGTATTTGAAATTAACAAATCATTGATTTTTCAGAATTCTATCATGTAATCTCCAGCATCATTTCTATCACCAAGACCATATTTTCCAACTACTGATCCTTCCTCTTTGTTCCCAACCTTTGCATTCCAATCACCACTAATGATCATTACATCTTGATTGCATGTTTGACCAATTTCAGATTGAAGAAGTTGGTAGAATTCTTCTATTTCATCCTCACTGGCTTTAGTGGTTGGTGCGTAAGTTTGAATAATAGTGGTATTAACTGGTCTTCTCTGTAGGTGCATGAATATTATCCTATCACAGACAGCATTGTACTTCATGACTGATCTGGATATGTTCTTTTTCCCAGTGAATGCAACACCATTCCTCTTCATTTTGTCATTCCCAGCAAAGTAAACCATGTAGTTGTCAGATTCAAAATGGCCAATGCCAGTCCATTTCAGCTCACTAATGACTAAGATATTGATGTTGATGTGTTCCATTTCATTTTTGACAATTTCTAATTTTCCTAGATTCATATGAGTAGTCCTATTCTGCAAACATGAGTCACAACAGCATTAAAACATCTGGAATTTATTTTAGAATAGCAAAAACACATATCAGCAATAGTGCTGTTGAGTCATATTTGTAGCTGCATGAACCCTTAATGAAATCCATGGTTTGATTTCACATGTCACTAAATTAATGCATCAACTTCATAGCAAGTTAAATGATCAATAATAACTAAGTTAATTCACTACATTGCTTTTCTTTTCTCTGTTGAGTGAAAGACATCTGAATTCAAAAATCACTGACATATCTTACTCCATACATATATTCCCTAATTGTAATAAATTGCACTCATTTGCAAAATAGGTAATATGAACTAATTCTTCCTATGTTTGATTTTGAAAATGCATATATCTTACAGGCAAATGCCTTTATGTAAATATTAAATAAACTTCCTCCTCTTGATAAATACTATAATAGTTATTATTGAAAGCTTTGAGGTCAATGTACTGAATGTTTATATAATGTTTAAATTTTTTGTAAGAACTAAGTATTATTAAAATGTACAGATGAAGAAACTGAAACTAAGAGAAGTGTTGTTGTTCAGTGTCATACAGTTAGTAACTGTAGTAATTAGAATTCAAATCCATACCTTCTAAACTCTATTCCAAACTGTCTATACAGTATACTGGACCAATCTGGATTTATATCTCACCTTAGCTACAACTGGTATGACCATACCAGTTTTTAAAGCCCATTTCTCATGTACTGTGTTAAAGAAGGTAATACACATGAACTGCTGAGACAAGTACCAATTCTATAAAAAATGCTCAATCCCACTGACATTCAAAGTTTTATAATATCTTCCACTTAATATATTCTATAGGACAACTTCTGTAGTAATGGCTTAACTTTAAAATACTTACTTTTCCTTTCATTTTAGTTTTTGATTGGCAATAGAAGATTAAAAAAAAAAAAAAGCAACAGAACACTGTTTTGTGCATTTACCAAGTAATAGCCTAATATTCTACAATAAAACCAAAATCAGTATTTATAGTGAATCTCATGCCATAATTATTCCTGCATTTCCAGATTTTAAACTGTATTTTCTTTCTTATATTCATATTTTCTATATTAACACAAACATTATATTCATGTTATACATATACCACTCATCATCCAAGTTTGCAAATTTAATAATTAAATAAAACAATTATTTTAATAAAGGACTCCTAGTGTGGCACTGTAAGATCAGCACTGGACTACTAACCACAAGGTCAGCAGTTCAAATGTACCCACTGCACCTTGGAAATCCTATATAGGGTCACTATGAGTCAGAATTGACTCAATAGCACATAACAACAACACCATCATTTTAATGGAGTATAAATATAGATACAGACAAAGGGCAAATTGTTTAGACAAATTTAGAGCATTATATTCAGAATTCAAATTTATCATAACTCAGGTTATTCTCACTGATTTAAAGACGTACAGCTAATAGTATTACTTAAGCATAATGGCACCCAATTAATATTTGGAGAATGAAAAAACTTAAGACAATGAGTACAGATATTTGGGGACTCTTGAAATGAAAAAAATTCACTAAATTAGCATACATAGAAACAGTTATTACAGCCTTTACTTTACTGATAAATCTGTGAAGCAATAGAAAGTAAAAATGTCATAGATTTACATACCTTTAAGCCAAGCATTGCTCCTGAATCTCGAGGTACACTTCCATCTTTTAGGCGTTTATTTAATAAAATGCGACCAATTAAACGATCTCCATCTTTAGAAGGTTGCCAGGTCACAGGATGCTGATAATATTGCATCAACAAACAAACCAAAAATAATGTTTTTTTATGACAAATCACTTCTGGTTGTACAATCCTCCCAAACTTCGTAATTCCAAAGTGTTATGATTACACAAATCAGTTTGAATTCAAAAACATTAATCAAAAGGACTTAGTACATTAAATATATAACCTCAATTGTATAATTTTATTTTTCCAAAATACAATTACTTCAAATTCTTAGTGTTCTCACACAACACAGAAATTATAGAGTTCTATAAAAAAGAAAACATCTTAGCAATATATGCATATTCTAGTATAATATGCATTGAAGATTAAAAATAGGATTAAATTCTGTGCAGTTGAACTCTTTTAAAAATGAGAATTTAATCTTCAAACACTTGAAATATATGGAAAGATTTTATTAGAGTGAAAATGGAAAGGTCAAATTATATTAAAACATAAAATCTGAACCTATGATGTGGACTTTCTTAAAGTAGGTTTCTGAATTAAAAAATTTTAAACTACACAAGTTTTAATGAGTTCCAACTGAATGTGCATGAGGGAAAAATAAAGCCTGATTCAAAGGTGTGGATGGATTACAGTTTTTACTTTTTAGAGGTTGATTGGTTCTTTCATATGTTTGATGTATTTAGTAAATTACCTCTACTAGATAATTCAATGGTATCCATTTGTTAAATAACTTTGAAAATATTAGTGTATATCCTTCTCAGAGCAGAACCAAGTCCTTTATAAATAAAGACACCATCCTAATGTAAATTATATGCTAAAAAACAAAGTTAATGATTTGTGTAATCACAGTAGTTTCAGAGTTATCTAAAAGCAGCATGCACATCTTCATGCAGAATTTAGTAGGCAAAAATGCCACTCAATCACACTGATATGGTAAAAAGATTTTCAAAATTCCCACTATGCTAAAAGCAAAAATAATAAATACCAAAGCAGATGACAATGGTTCTAATACTAATTAACACTACATTCAAATGCTATGACAATAAAAGAAAATAAGCAAAATGACAGTGAAAGGGAAAAAAGAAAAACAACTTTTTCTGTGCAAACAAACCCAATTATCTCCCTTTTGCCTGGGATTTAAACTATTAATCATTTAATTTTCATCCCAAGGAAAATATATGCAAGCAATCAAAAAAGCCAATCCAAAAAATTCTTTGTTATTTGTGGTTTATAATAACATCACAATGTTCTTTCATGCGACCATAAGACAAAACATTCCTTTGTTCCTAAATTTTATTTTTATTTACTTCTTTAGTTTTTGGTATTTTGTCAAACAATAAAAACAGCAAAGCAAGCAAGAGGGTTTTTTGTTTTGTTTTGTTTTTCTTTTCTGCACCTTAAGAAATGCTACATTGACCTTTGAAATGCCCTGTCTTTTGATTATGTTCGGTTTTAATGAATGACAGAGAGCAAACGAAGACCAAATGAGCAAGTTAAAAGGCAGGCTCCACAATCTCAGTACCTTCTCACTATGGCTAGGTTCCTCGTTAAGGGTTGTGCTACTACACGTATCTACCCCAGAGTCCTTAATCTGAGGCTCAGACCATTCCAAATCCTCTTCCAAAGAGTGGCCACCAAAGTACATCATTTTCTTTTGTCTCTCAGACCTGGTGTAAGAGTCCGACAGAACTGCCTGCTCACTAGTTTTTCTTTTTCCCTTTTGACTGTCCCCTACAGGTGTGGGATAAAAATAAAAATAATAAAATAAAGATATAAAAAAAAGAAAACATGCAAAGGTATAAATTAAAAAGGAAACGTGAAATGATAACAAAAATTAAATTGTAAGGCTCCACATGTCTCACCAAAGACATTGGGGAAGCCTCACTGCTAGGCCAAGACGTATGGTCCAACCAGTTGTAATCCATGTCTCCTGTGAGAGTTGGACAGACAAAAGTGCAGTAAAGGAGATGTTGTTGAAAGAAAGGACAGACAAAAAGACATTATAAACATTTCAAATTGTGTGATACTGTGTAGTTTTAAGAACTCTGTCTGTAGCACTCACTATACATACTAAGTAAGAGAAAACGAAGATTCCAAATGAGTAAACCTTATAGAATGCAGAATATAAAGTTTATGTATTCTAGACAAATCCTGTGAAAGTCTTGCAACAAAAAAACCTTTATATTCAACAGAGTAGGAACCAAAGAAATTACATATTCGGGGGCAGGGGGAGGAGGGGAGGAAGAAAGTATCTCCTATGTCAGTCATGGTATTTATGTGTTTCATTTGGCCTACAGAGATAACTTTGTTCTGTTCCAAAGATTATGAACATTTCATAAAACAAACAGTGGTTTGTCAATAACCACTATAAAAAAAAAAATCAAGTCATTAAGTTTTGTTCTTGGAATGTAGTATGGTAGTCTCTATAATGCGGAAATCTCTAGAAGATCTGAGTGATTAAGGATAAATAAAAAGAAATTGGTTACACAAAAGGTTTATTTTGTATGAAAATGACAAACCATACTCATTCAATCTGTACCAGTGAAAATAAAATAAAACTTACTTAAATAACATGAATTCCTTTATATCTCTTTGAAACAATTTTTAACTTTTTTAGAAATTGCATTCTTGTAAACAGTCATTTTTTTCTTTTAAAATAATTTTAAGCCAATTTCTATAACTGACAACCAAGAATAATATCCAATTCCCAAACTTACATGTTCCTCCTTTCCCTCTACTTTTGGGGAAAAGTCATTTTTAATTTATATATGCCCATGTATCTGTTCACACTTCCATTTATTTTTAAATATTTTGCTAAACATTTTCCATTTGCTATGCACTGTGCTAAGCCCTAGTGTAAAGGGTAAAACAATGAGACATGCTTACAACGGAAAGGACAGTAAACAATCGCAAAAAAACACAAAACTGCACCTGTGCTTAAAAAGTGTCACATAGGAGAGTATAGAACACTTCTAGAGAGGATACAGTAAGATCTCATTTCGATTTGGTGGTTGACAAACACCTCTAAATATGTGGTGTTGAGGATGAGAACGAAAGAACAAATAGGAAGGTAGGCAAATGAAAAGTGGAAGAACAAACAGTCCAAGAGCTCTTGTTCCAACATAATACTGTAAAAGATTTAACTGAAAAAAAGAGTAAAGTATATGAATCAAAAAGAATGAAGGAAACTTGAATGAATGAACTAAACTCGAGTGTTAAGTAAGACTGGTAGCCCAAAACATTTTAAAAAACAAAACAAAACAAAAACCCACTGCTATCAAATTGATTCTGATTCATAGCAAGTCCATATGACATTTCCAAGGCTGTCTATCATTGTGGGAGCAGAAAGTCTCATGTTTCTCCCGAGGAGTGGCTGGTGGATTTAAACTGCCAACCTTGTGATTAGTAGTCCAGTGCTTTTCCTACAGCACTACCAGGGCTCCTAAACTTTTAGAAAGGCTTTTTAAAGTCCTAGTAAAGCTGATGAATTTTATTCCTTGAATGATTTTCAGCAAGATGGTGGCATGATTTGATTTAGATTCTTAAAAGCAGATTCTAAGAACCATAGAAACTGGGTTTGAAGAGGTGAATATGGAATGAACAAAGGTGACAGCAGTTGACACATCAGAAAAAAAGAATTGAGAGATGTTTTGAAAGTAGAAAGAACAGCAGTATGACTGAGAATTCAAGGATAAGTCCCTGGTGTCTTGCAATCGCTGAATGACAGACAAATCCCTTTATGAGGTGAAAAGACTAAAGGATGAGCAGCCGTTATTAAGGAAGAAATAGAAGGGAATTACTATCTCTCTCATAGAGTTTTGTAACCTCATATGTGTTAAGTTTCAGAGATTCTAAAATATCTAAGAGTATCTTAGAATTATTAGTTTCCAATATATATACTATTTGAAAATCCTATTCAGAGTCCTGGTGTGGTGCTGTTGGATAAGCACTGGATTACTAACTGAAAACTCAGTGGTTTAAATCCATCAGCTGCTCCTTGGAAACCTTCTAAAGGGTCACTATGAGTTAGAATTCATCCTATGCAACTTAACAATGACAACACAAGCTTTTTAAGTGGCATGTAAGAAATCAGTTGATCAAACTAGTAAAGTTTAGAAGAAAAAGGTCTGAACAGGGAGCATTTAATTTGGAAATTATCAGCAGACAGATAGCAGTAAGCCATACGGTTTAAGAAGACAGGCTAAAATAAGATATGAAAAGAATTCAAATGAATTCCAAGATTCTGAGTTGGAGTTGAGGGAAAAAAGGAACAGAGAAAAGGAAAAAGGATAGAGACTAAGGTCTCTAAACCAAATAGAAGAGTTTCCTATAAAGAAGAGAAGTCAATTATATTGGATGGTATCTACACATCAAATAGGATGGGGAAACTCAAAAGTGTGCTTTTAATTTGGCAGAATGGAAGGATGTTAAAAGATCAGTTTGGATCAACTGATAAGAATTAGAATCAGATTAAAGTAATTAAAGAGTCCAAAGAAAGATGGTTGTGGTGATGGTTGTGTGCCATTGAGTCAGTTCCAACTAATAGTGACCCTGTATAGAGTTTCCAAGTCTATAAATCTTTATGGGGAGGGAGCAGAAAGCTTTATGTTTCTCCTGAGAAGTGGTTGGTCTATTCAAACTGCTGACCTTGCAGTTAGCAGCCTAACTAAGAAAACTATTACGTTCCCAGGACTCTTAAAGGGAGATGAGGAGGCAGGAAGCTGTACTGTACGTATATACAGACCAATTGTTCTGAAAGTGAAATTCCCACATCATAAAAATTTGTTAAAAATACAAATTCTCATGTCCCACCTTAAACCTACTTTATGAGAAAGTCTGCTGTTGAGGCCTAGCAAACAGGGTTTCAAATAAGTCCTCCAGGTGATTATGATCACAGCAGGATAAATAGTGGACTACTAACTCGCCAGCCGATCCTTAGAAACCTTATACAAGGTTACTATGAGTCAGAACTGACTTAACAGCACTTCACAACAACAACATATGAGAAGCTCTGGAGACAGTTTCTCTAAGAAGCTGATTGGTGAAAGAGAATAGAGCTATAACACATGCAAACTACCATCTGTAGAAGGAAGGCCATTCTTTAACCTGTGGACTAGAACAGTGCTTCTTCATGTCTTCTTTATGTCACCAATAGACAACGTCACCAATTTTTTTGTTGTTGTGATGTGCCGTGGAGTCGGTTCCAACTCATAGCGACCTGCACAGGGTTTCCGAGGCTGTAAATCTTTATGGGAGCAGAACGCCTCATCTTTCTCCCGCGGAGCAGCTGGTAGTTTCTAACTGCTGACCTTGCGGTTCGCAGCCCGATTCCTAACCACTACGCTGTCACCAATAGACAATGATTAGTACCATACAGTGGGGCAAATGGAGATGACCAGCCCATGGAATCTTATTTACGTTCATGCCTAGCTGGTAATGCATAGGGTCAATGGTATTTGTATCTCAGGAAACCTGCAACCCATTCAAAACACACTAGTGTTCCACAGCACAACATTGATAAATCTGAATTTGAGAAGCCACAAGTTGAGCTTGTAAACTGAAATCCTTGGTTGGTGTGTGTGAAGACATGAAAATAAAGCTCATAATTTCTCTTCCTCTTCTATGTTTATACCTACAAAAGGCAGAAATTTAATTCTGTCCTCTATAAAGAAAATAACATTTTGCCCATTTAAAGCTAAAATGAAAATGTTTGATTGATGAAGGTACACGATACATGGCAAAACACAAACAAGAAAGAAAGAAAGAGAAACCACTGCCAGGGTAGTAGTGGTGATTGTGTGCCACCGAGTCAGCGCCAACTCACACAGACCCTATATAGGGCTTCCAAGGCTGTAAATCTTTACAGAAGCACAACAGTGTATTTGAACTACTGATTTGGTTGTTAGCAGCCCAGCTTCTAACAGTACACTACCAAGACTCCTTCACTGCCATGGAGTTTATTCTAATTCATAGTGACCCTATAGGACAAAGTCATGTCCTGTGTGGTGCCATAGGATAAGAACTGGACGTACAGCACAACAGCTGCTCCTTGGAAACCCTATACAGAGTTGCTATGAATCAAAACCAACTTGATGGCACTTAACAACACCAACAACATAGGAAAGAGTAAACTGCTCCTTAGGGTTTGTGAGGCTATAAATCTTTACAGAAGGAAACTACCACATCTTTCTTCCAGATTTGTTGCATAATTAAAAATTAATGTGACTGTAAGAAATAAATCATATATATCAAATAAAAACAATCTTAAGCTTTTAAGTACTACTAGTATTTAGACAATAGTAATCATTTAATGGAGTTCTGGTGTGGTGCCGTGGGTTAATGCGCCAGACTGCAAAGCCATTTGTACTTCAAGGTCAGTGGTTCAAGTTCACCAGCGTCTCCTCAGAAACCCTATACAGGGTCCCTATGGGTCAGAACCAACTCGACAGCACTTAACAACAACAACAATGATTTAATATTATTATTCAGTATAGCTCCATAGAGCAGAAATAAAATAATAAGATACATCAATCCTTTAGTTGCAACACAAAAACATGTTGCTGGGCCTTCCAATTCCATGCAAAGATACAAAAGACACAAAGAAGAACTAAGTGGAAAATTTAGAACTATAAAATGCAATGGTTTTGGTTGGTGTTGTATAACGTGTCATCGAGTAAGTTCTGACTCATAGTGACCCTATATAGGGTTTCCGAAGAGGACTGGTGGGTTTGAACCACTGACCTAGCAGTTAGGAGTTCAGTGATTGCTACAGTTCCATACTTGTTGTTGTGAAGTGCCATCCAGTCGGTTCTAACCCATAGCAACCCTGTATAGAGTTTCTGAGGAGAAGCTGGTGAGCTTGAACCACCAACTTTGCAGTTCAAATGGCTTTGCAGAGCCGTTTGCACTGGATTGCCATAATTGAAATAA